CACAGGAAAGTTACTAACTGAAAACTGAAAAAGAGGGATTGAAGGTGCCTCTCTGTGCTATCACACCTATTTAGCAAGCTTGTGGTCCTGGATTTAACCCTCCGACCACCTCCCTGCCTTCCACCCTCAGCAAAACCCCACAAAGTTTTATATACTGATACAGGGATATGAAATTTAGTTATCCAGTTTTGGACTTGATGAAAGCTGATGGAGACCCTTTAGAGAAAGAGGACCATTTTAATGTTCTCATTACCTAGATAATTTGTTATCCAGCTTATTGGCTCTCTCTCAGATGTATAAAAGCACAAAAGGTGCGACTGAAACATACACTGAAAATTTAAATTTAAAACAAATTTATTACAGTAAAAGATACATTGCCATTAGTCCCCCCTCAAAATACTCATCCTTGCTTCAAAGAAACTTAACCCATCTTTCTTCTTACTTCCTGAAAACTTTCTGGCAGTCTTTTTTTGGTCTTTAATGACACTGTCCTGGCTGTCTCAATGTACGGAATTGATTCAAAACATTTAACATACATGGTCATTTTTGACTTAGAAGAATATATTTCATATGCTGCCAGATTCCATGAATAAGGTGGATAAAGACCCACCATAATGCTTTTATGAGTGTGTATTTCTGTTGGTCGACAATTGGCAGCAGCAAATTTGCCATATTTTTATCATATTTTGTAAAGATACTCATAAAAGAGGACTTTCCAAACCACTCCAGAAAATGGCAAGAACATGGGATAAGGGTGCTAAAAGTGAAGAGGAGTACAATGTTTTGAAACAGATTATCGGCAGTGTGTCTTTCAGTGGAATAATTTTTAAACTATTCATAGTATATTTTTATCATACCTCATAAATATTAAGGAATATACTAGCATCCCCAAAGCAATCACAAGTTTATTTCAGTCATTGACCTGGAAAATCCCCTTGGAATTTGCAGCCTTCTACTTGGGGCCACATTTCAATAGTCTTTCTTTGGTTTAATACTCTTCACACCAGTAAGTTTGACAAATCCCAGTCCCAGTCCACAGGGGATCTGTAACAGAGTCTTTTATGATGCTTATTAAAATACAGATTTCTGGACTTTATCCTTTCCATACAGAATTAGAAATTGTGACATTTATGATAACCATAGGGTTTAGGAATTTTCATGAATCCTCATCTTTATGACTGTGGAATTTTCTGTTGGCCTCATTATTAGATGTACACCTTCACTTTCAGACTGAAATTATTCCCAAACACAATTCACCATTATATTAATTTGCTAGGGCTTATAAAGTATCAGAGACAGGGTAGCTTTATAATGGGAACATATTTTTTCACATTTTTGAAGGCAAGTAAAATTCAAGATTAAAGTGCCACCAATTCCATTTCTCCTTAGGTTTCTCTTCTTGGCTCATAGATACTGTGCAATATGATCAACATATATGGCAAATGTTTAAATTTAAGAAAACTTTATTACAGTAAAAGATATATCGCCATGAATCCCTCTCAAAATACTTTTCTACACTTCCAAAAACACTATTCCATTGTGCTTGTCACTTTCTGAAGCAGTTCTCGAAGTCCTCTTTTGTGTCTTTACACATTAAGGTCTCTTCTTATTTAGTGAGATCTGGGGAAGCCACAGAAATGGATATTTCATAGCTCGCTTGGAGTCAGTCCAGTCACCTGATATGAATGAACTTCTGTTCAGGGGTCAAAATCAAAATGTTATGTTAAGGCACCCACACCATTAGGTGCTTCCTCTTTCACAGCGCACAGAGGCCTGCAGAAATGCAGTAGACTCTTGTGACTAATAGAACATATTTTTCTCCAGATTGTTTTATGTTTTTGAATTGAGTGTAAGGCTGATAAAATGGTTGAGAAAAAGTAAGAAAATCAGTGAAATTACTAACTTTCTTTTTGGATATTATTGCGTGCTGTGGATGAATGACAAATTTGATTCTTCTCAGAGGGTGCTGTTTTTTAATGAAAACCTCATGATTTTTCTCCATACTTTGAATTCTATAACCAATCAATTTTAATGTCTGTGTGTTCTTTGTGTGTGTGTGTGTGTGTGTGTGTGTGTGTGTGTGTGTGTGTGTT